ACTCACACCCCTCCAGTCACTCACACCCCTCCAGTCACTCGCCTCCTAAGTATCTCGCCCGTCCCGGTTACTCGCCCCTCAGATGAACATCAACCCCACCGCTTCCTCTTTGGTGCATCTTTTGCGTGTTCTTAGGCCACTCGCTCCTCCATCAGTGTGACGAGCCCCTCCCACCGCCTCCTCAGCAGAGTGTTCGTTCCTTTGCCCTTTTGTCCATTCAGCTGCGCGCGGCCCAGCGTTAGACCTCTCATCCATCGCAAGCAATCGCGTTCAGCAGCTCAGCCCCGCACTTGGGCAATTGACTGCAGTCACTCGTGTAATTGGGTACCGCAGGTTCGATATCGCTAGGTACCTACTCGAAGAAATACGATTGAAACTTGCAAAGGATACAATGGCTGTGCTGCGTCACTTTATTGCACAACATTATTGTTCTACTTGGAATAACGGTTGTCTACTTTTAGGTTGATATAAAAGAACAAACTCGGATGTAATAGCCTGACCAATCATTTAAAATGCCTAAGCAATATTACATTAATACCCTTATCATGTTCGTGTGCTGGGTGTATAGGTATATGGTGTGGAAATCATGTTCGTGTGCTGGGTATATTAATCTTCTGGTGAAATCTGTAATGTTTTGTTGCCTCGTGTATGCTATCTCTGGAATTTCATTTGACGTTTACGACAGATTCACTGTTGTATACTAAATTCCAAGAATTGAACTTACTAGAAATATAGAACTAACAGACTTAACTTCACCAAAAATCTTTGCGGTATGCACATTCAGATGACGAGCAAGAATATATAAGTTCGGAGCAAAGGCTTAAAGATAACACACAAAAAAACAGTTTTCTTTCAACTAATACTACAGTGCACAGAGGAGTCTTGTATGAGACATGTCGATCAGAAGACGTGGAGGTTAAAACAAATCCCTTAGTTATCAGCGCAGTTAGATTGACTTGCCTTGACTAACGAACGAAAGGCGTCCAACCGATAAAGTCGATTGTCTGACGCTTGCTACTTATGAGTTCGGCAGTTAACATGATTTTAAAATGACGCGAAGTTTATACTTCCAATCATGGAGGACAAATAATGTGAAAAAGTGGGAACGAAACGTTAAATTAAACGTAAGTTTTCGAAAATAGCGAGAATAGTTCATATTTCTGCTGCTAATACAGTAAGGAAAAGAAATTTAAGAACAAGACCAATTATATTTTAATAATACAATATTGATTCGATAGGAATTAATGACATTCTAATTATCCATAGTTTGGAAAATATACGTGCATACGTTTTCTTAATTTCGTAATCACATTTCCTGCATACGCATATCTTATGTATCTTCATATTTCATTTTCATATTTCGCTATCTTCATATTTGTGCTTGTAGGATGACACTTAACAAATTTTGAATTTTCGCAATTTTCGAAAAATCAGGGTTTCAACGAAAATGAGACTTGCACTATTGTCTTAAACGCCCTGTACAGTATTCAACAACACATTTTAATAAAAAAACAATGGAACCATTTTCTTGAAAATTTGGAAAATGTCCCTGGGTCTTGAAGTGCAGTATCGATATTTCGGTATCAAGTATCCACAAAACATCAACTCTGGTTATACCTTGTGTTAGAGGATTCTTTTTCTAAATTTAGCTACTGGATTTATCCACTTCTTTTCTACCAGCATCCTGTTTTCTGGTGAAAATTCGCCGTTACTTCGCGCAGCATTCCATAACTTTCTCTCAACTGCGTAAGGGGAAGCGAGAAAGCAAAACAAATATTGAGAAATGTCACAGTTTTAAAGTGGAACGGTTTGCAGTTGAGGGACGGCGGATTCGCATTAACACAGCCGCCGACCGCCGCGGCGCGCCGCTTTCTCCGGCGACGGCGGCGCCGCGCGGCGGCGCGCAGGGGCAGCGCCGGGGGCGTGTAAACAAAGGCGCAGCGCCTCTGAATGCGAGGGCTCCTCGAAGCGGAAGCTCGAGGCCTCGGGCGCGGCCTCGAAATATTTAGCCCCGAGGCAGCGCCGCCGAGGCACGCCACCACCAGGGGGTGCGAGGGCGGAATGGTCATTTGCTTTACAATGCGACAAACTGACTTTTTCTTCCAGGGACTATTTCCAGCTTTCTGAGGATGCCAAATTCGACTATCCGCGCCGAGTCCACACTATGACCCTCACGGGGATACATTAACCTTTACACTAGATACACTTGCTGGCTCCTCGGTCTGCGGTAAGCAAACACTCATACATGAAGAGCAAGGGACAACAAACATGCGGAAGCAGGGACTCGAACTTACGTCCCGGCCAAACGAGACACTGTGTCAGGACACGTTCTGACCCTCTAGAACCACAAGGGAAAAACCGATAAGTAGTTACTTCAATCTTTATCTAAAACAGGTTTAATGGTGGTATTGTTAGGATTTCATGAAGCGCTAGAGGGAGAAAGAGCGATAAACTCGTGAGAGGGTAAAGACAACGTACTACCTACAAAATAAGGTAAGATACGAGTACTTTACTACAATACGCGAATGTAACTATGAAACGCAGTAACCATGGCGGTGCTGGCAGGGCCCTTCTGCAAGAGAATACTTTGTTATGGACGTTTAAAATTATTAATTTTTACGCATTACATTTCTTCACATCATTAGTAGTACTTCTTTATTTGCTTTCACATTCAAAAATAGTACCTGATCCCAGTCATTCGCTTTGAAAGTGGGGTTTTGTCTTTCATAAAAAATAACGCCCTTCAGAAAGTAAATAAAAGGATGCATTCTGCGAAACTAGCGAAGCAATATTTCTCGTCATCCTTTTCTTCTTCCTCCATGGACTCGCAGGGCTTGGTGTTCCCTTCATTGTCCGTCCATTTCCAACATGACAGGGCCCGCGATTCTTCAGGGCGAAAGAAAAATGCCTCCGGTCTCGGGGAGGAGCGCGCATCAAATCCCATGCCAAGGAACGCGACTCCTCGCGAAGATTTGTAGCATCCGGCGTAACCCGCAGCGGGCTCGGCTCGCCTCGTCTCGTCTCGTCTCGTCTCGTCGGGCTGCGGCAAAAACCACACTCCCTTACACAGCCACCGACGGCGCCTGGCAATATTGCGACGTATGCAACCCGTCCGACAGCGGTGTGTTACGGAACAAAACCAGAGCAAAACACTTTCTCGGATAAATAAGGCAACTCATTCCCAACGAAACACAACGTAAATATAATGTATACGCAAAAGCGAGGTGCCTTGTTATGAAATCAAATCATTATTATTGGTAACGTAGCCTTTAACCTGAATGTAAACATAGACGTAATCGTGAAAGTTCGCAAGCTACAAGCTTTTATGTTCACGTTAGGGGAGATAGGCCAGCCGTGTTTCGTAATGCATTAAGTAAGCCACGGGGAGATTAGGTCATCCCACTCTGAACGTAAATATTAAACTCTTATTTATTTAATAAATACATGTTTATTTCAAAATTTGTGTAATGAGTAGAGAACCATCCATTGATTTACTAACTCCTGTGATTGTGATTTTTCTAACAACATTTACAAATATACTTCATATGCTTCACACATTGAACAGAATAATAAATTTCGTGAGTTATTTTGTCACATATAGGTAAAAAAATGTTGTGGGAGGTCGAGCACGGATTTCAAGATTTACTTCTGAGACGACAGACGGCGTGGCGAGCGGGGGGGGCAGTGTGAAACCACCAAGCAGAGTGAAACAATTAACGGAGGATGAAAATGGTTTTCTTTCTGGGATCTCCTTGTTTTAGTGTGTTTTTTCACAGAATTCCAATAAAGGTTGTATTCATTCATTTACTTGAAGTGCGATTAATATCACTTTCCCACAATATAAAAGTATATTAGGCAACGCACAGTAGGGTCATCAGTTGATCAACTGAGCTACCTAAGCCTGTCTAGACGAACATTGAGGGGCCTAGCGAAATAGGATGCGGAATGCTGGGAAGAGATATTCGCGCGCAATTCGTGAGCCATTGTAGGTAGCGCTGTTCAGGTTTGCGCCTGCGAGTGGACCGGCGAACCAAGCGGTCGATGAGCGAACCCAACTGCAGCCCAGTAGGTGCCACAAACGCTCTGACCGGGACCGGATCCACGGCCCCACCTTCGAGGTTTGCTCGAACGTCAGTTGTCTTAACGCTGACCAAAAGCCGATGACACTAGTGATAGCCACTGAACAACCTTATCAGCGTAAATGCTTTCTAAAATAGTACAACCCTTTTCAAACAATATGTGTTAGATATTCAAAAATAATTTGTAAACGGAGATGAAAATAATATACATTTGAAATTTATTAATATGAATATACTACTAATATTGCAAGAATTTATAAATAATTTTGTTGTCTAGTTCCAATGATTTCAATTTCATTATATTTAATGAGAATAAGAAACGTTTAAATAATTCAATTTTTTAAACGGTAGTATATAATTAAATGACTATTTTAATCATCTCTCCAATACCCCAGATTCAGCCGATGTATTTAACTCGTCCGTTATATAGGTATATTTGGTTCGGGGGTTAACGAGATGCAAGCAATTAGAATCCAACATCTTGAAAAATTCATGAGCAAGTAATTGGAAGCAGCGGCGAAAATCAAACAGCCTGAGCAAAACCTTAATCCTTCACAACTCTCCAGAACATGAGAGTTTTACATATTAATTAAAACGACCACTTCATCTACCCACTGATGGCAACGAATTCTGACGGCAGCTCCGTGAAATCTGGTCGCCGCGAGGCAGGCTGACAGGAAACGCGGGCTGCAGAGCAATTCGATTTTCGATTCAAAACGGAAGAGAAAGAATAATGGGCATAATACGACCAGGCGGGAGGGAATCAACCTGGAAAAAACAAAGGGAAATGCAATAATTGCCACCGCAAATAAACCCAGAATGCTTTGGAGGTAGAGCTGCTCGCTCTCACGGCGGGCTATGTAACAAAATAACGGCATCGTGACCCGACGGTGGCTGCATGCGTGCGTTATACGTGGCGCGCACGGAAATACAGAATGTTCCACAAGCCGTTTCCTTTTCTTTCCGAAGGTAGGGAAGGTAGTATCCTACCCACGAGTCATTCTAGAGTTATATATTATTATTAATATTATTATTATTATGATTATTAATAATAATTATATTAATATACGTTTTCCGCAATCTTAGCGTCAGATATGTTTGCTTTTCTTTCCTTCAGCGATTTCACTTCGCTACTTCCCCCTTCGCCTGGGAGTGATGAGGGAAGACACGGAAATA